AACTCAACAAATAAAAGCCATTCATATTAATCTAGGCTGATGGTGTAGATAACAAAATATACACAAAAACACCCCTGAATCTGTAAAACATCATTCCAAAAGACCCTTTTGTTTTCAAACCAAAATTGTGAATGAGCAGGACTTTGCATGAATAAGCCTTTTCTATGTTAAAATAGCAAATAAGTGTACATTAAAAATGTGTAAATCTACTTCACCTAATTATTATCCTGTTCATAATATGAAATATGAATTGAAAAGTAGCATAAAACATAAAACTGTTAAGTCTCTTCAAAGAAATTGAAGACTAACGATACTAGCTCTCTTACAAAATAATAAAAATGGTTAGCAAGATGGTCACAATGTATTTAATAGTCTTTGCATTTTGTCATGAAATTTTGCGCAATTTTAGCAAATATGGATTTGGTGGGGGTTGTGTTGTTGTGTTGCCATGTGGCAAACGCTGGTTTCAAACTCATAGTGCTCTTGCCTCAGCCTCCTTGTTCCCTGCCCCAAGGCTGGAATTACAGGTATATACCACTATTCCAGGCTACAAGCATGAAATCTAAAGGCGCTATATCTTCAAAACCATTTTGTAAAAATAAAACTAAATGGCCCAGAACTCTAAACTGTTTAAGCAAAACATTCCTCAGAAGAGATAAATATTCCATTTGGATTTCCCTTCCATAATATAATTTTTCCTTCAAAATCATTCACTTCAGGGGCTGGGAAGGTGGCTCAGTGGTAGAGCGCTTGCCCTGCATGCCTGATGCCCTGGGTTCGATTCCTCAGCACCACATAAGAAAAAAAAAAAAGCCAGAAGTGGCGCTGTGGCTCAAGTGGTAGAGCGCTAGCCTTGAGCTGAAGAGCTGAGGGACAGCACCCAGGCCCAGAGTTCAGGCTCCACTACCGGACCCAAAAAAAAAAAAAAAAAAAAAATCATTCACTTCATATATGGTAAAAAGTAAAATTTCATGATCACAACATAACTCTAAAAACAGGAAAAGTTTCTTTTTCTGTGAATTCTGATAACTAGTATCCGAAAGAGAGAGAGAGAGATGCCCACTGGTCTTCATCATTTAGATATTCATGAATGTTGTCTGTTGGCAGAGCTCCTTTCATGGTCACTCAGTCTCAGAACAGAATGAGGCAACACCGAGCAGTAAATTATATAACACCGCCATATCAGACAAAGCCACAGGACTGGTGGAAGCAATTTTAAGACCAAGGAGATAAGAGGATATCACCATTCCCCAAAAACAGCTTGTATTATATTCCCTACTAAGTCTTTAAATTACAATTCTTATTCTCAGGCATTAAACTCTTCTCTCAGGAGATTATTGAATGCTTAAAACAACTAAATATTTTTCTGTGGTGGCCATTTACGTTCCAATACACTTAAGCATCTATCAAAAAGCAGTGATCCACGTAGATACAGACTACTTGCTACTCTTTAAGAACAATAGCAATACTAAAAAAAATTAACAATAATCAGTTGTTTGGCTAGAAAAAAAAACTGAAAAAAATAAACAATGATAAATAAAAACATAAAAAAAGATTGCCACAAAATTGTGTTTCAGAAAATGCTACATCAGACAGGACAAAAATTACAAGTGGTGCTTCTCCTTTTCCTTCTATCTCCTCACCCAACTAGACAGATACTTTCCACTCTGATTACCAGATATTTAAAACTCAGCCTAAAATGAGTAATAAGCATAACCTGCATCCTATTTTTTGTTATTATTAGGGAGTTCAACAGAGGGGTTACAATTACAAAAGTCAGGTAATGAGTATATTGCTCTTGGTCACCCCTTTCTTCACTTTCCCCAATTTTTCCCCTCCCATGATTGCCCACAAGTTGCAGTTTATTTTTTACATAGTGTATACTGAACACAATGACTGCATTTGTTCACCCTTCTTACCTCCATTACTGTGCCCTCCTGCATCCTATTTTTAAAGCAATGGTTTATCTGAGAGAGAACTTTTTCTTAAATTTAATTCACATTAATGAAACCTTCTGTATTCTAAGCACTCTAAAGCCTAGAGACACTGAGATGAGTAAGGTAGGATCCTTGCCTTGGGGAATACACGGTCTACTGGAGCAGTAGATAAACTGTTATCATGGAAATGTGTGCTAAGTATAGAAAATACTGGGAAACATAATAAAAATTCTGTCCTAGAGATGAAGGGAAAGCTTTGTAGGGGTGGATCTTGAAGTTGGGTCTTATACAACAGGCAGGAAAGGGGGCTGATGTCTTTAGGAGAAAGAGAACACCTGTTTCAGGTTGTTCAATAACCACACTTAAAAATCACCAATGTATGCCAGGCACCAGTAGCTCATGCCTATAATCCTAGCTACTCAGCAGGCCGAGATATGAATATTAAGGTTTGAAGCCAGCCCAGGTAGCAAAGTCACTGAGATTCATAACTCCAATTAATCCCAAAAAAGAAAAAAAAGGCTGGAAGTGGAGCTGTGGCTCAAGTGGTAGAATGCTAACCTTAAGCAAAAAACTCAGGAATAGCACCAGGCACTGAGTTCAAGCCCCAGGACCAGCATAAAAAAAAAAAATCACAATGCTTACAAAGCTTTTGTGGTCTTACAATACTACAATGCAGAAAAGAAAAGGACTTGTTCATTAATCTATTTAATCCAGTAACTAATGGGAAACAATGAAAAGTTTTAAATGCTGTAACTACAAACAATAGCAAAACTGGCCCCCCAAAAAAGTGGTGAAGAGATAGTTCAGTGAAAATAAAGAAAACTTTAAATAATTTCATCTATAGAAAAACACTCTAGTTATCAAATGAAATAATCAGACTTAGGAAAGATACTGAGATCTAAACAGAATCAACTATTTGGTAAAGAGAAAGGATTCTTTATGTATCACCATCTAACCGCTGCTACTTCTGAAACACATTGGCCTCTTCCTTCCTCTAGACTTTTGGTCTACTTTAGTCCATGATCAGCTATATTCTAAGAAATGAAATAAACATAGTTGCAAAGCCTGATAATTATTTTATTCATGAAAAAAGGTTTAATTTGCCTTTTGATATTAACTTTGGACAAATAAACAGTAGTCCAACACACATGGTTTAATACAAAAATCTAGGCTCAGGTTGAGGAAAATGAGGTATAGAAAAGTTTGTCCTGTCAGGGAAATTGTTGATGATCCCAACTTCCATCTAGTTCTCTTAGATCTTTTGACTGCCTGGGAATTTTGCAATCTACTTTACCTCAATCAGTCCTGAATCTCGGCGGAAGTCCCAGTGGGGGTTGGGCAGAAACCAGGTCAATAAATGGTCCAATCAATTTTTTTAAAAAATACCAAAAGGCTGGTCAAAATGAGCCTATTTACAACATCTGTCCCAAGATAACCAAGAACCAACCTCATGTGGACCCAGTAGTTTCTCCTCCATTCTGAAAAAAAGGAAATAAAAAATGATAGCAGCCAGGGGGCTGGTGGCTCACGCGTGTAATCCTAGCTACTCAGGAGGCTGAGATCTGAGGATTGAAGTACAAAGCCAGCCCAGGCAATAAAATCCGTGAGACTCTTATCTCCACTAAATCACTAGAAAACCAGAAGTGGTGCTGTGGCTCAAACGGTAGAGCACTGGCCTTGAGCTGAAGAGCGCAGGGACAGCGCCCAAGCCCAGAGTTCAAGCCCCACGACAGACCAAAAAAAAAGTGATAGCAAGAAAACAGTCAGAGCCTAGAAAAAACTAAGTTCGCCTTTACTGCTCTAGCAAAGCAACTGGCAGGCCCTCATAAAGCAGGGGGCCTGCTCTGAAGGCCACAGAGCTATTCTCTCCAGATCCCAACTGCAGTTGCTGGGACCCCTCACACCTTTCTCCACACCTAAAAAAGGAGGATGCTCCTATCTGCTCTGGAGGGTGACTGTGGGGACGGGGAGATTGAGGAGGAATAATATTAAAGGATCTGTACTTGGAAACAATCCTGTAAGTGATAACAAATTTCATTTGAACATGTCAGACTTTTCAGTTCCTACCAAAAAATATTTTTTTGAGTAGCACTACACACAAGAATTAAAAGTAACTTCAAATGCTGTGACTATGTTATTTAAAGAGTTCTGTTCTTATGCATAATTAGAATTCTGGCCTCTCTAGAGCCCACTGATGCTGCTGTTTTTGCATGGACGAACCTGTGCCATGAGTTGGCAAACCGTCTTGTCAAGCCAAATGTATCACACCACCTACTTTTTGTTAATAAAGTTTTATTAGAACACACAAAAAAAGAGTTCTGTTCTCTTCCTTTTCCTAAAGTAAAAGGATCCTGACTAATGAAGAAAATAGACGAGCTAAAGCTGGGGTTAGGGGGACCCATAATCCTCACAGAGGACCCTGGCTTGTCAGCCCTGAGGGCAGGGCTGCGTGATGGCTGGAGACTCTGGTCACTCTTACCCGCCTATGTGACACCCAGCCATGGACCTCGACACATTCTTGTTTCGCCCCGACACAAATATTTTGATATTTTAATTCACTTCAATACAGATCTAAAGCCAAGTGTTTTAGAGCGAGTGTCTAGGAGTTAACTAACCGAGGGTTACTTAACGAATAAGGACCAGACACGCAGGATGTCAATCGGGAGTGTCCCGCCGAAGAGTCCACTGAACTGGATGGAACTCGAACTCGGAACTTCGCGCCCAGGACTCTGAGCAGCCGCTCCGGGTAGGCAGGCCTTCACCGCCCAGCTGCCTGCGGGGCTTTACCTCCGGCGAGGCGGCCGGACCCCCGTCCCGGCCTTCCCCCCCCCGGCCCCCTGACCCCGGGAGGGTGGACGCGCTCAGGCCGAGGATCACTGGCCTGCTCCGCAGGGGGACGGCAGAGGCCGCGGCCGCTCCGGGTCAGGAAACCCTGACAGCTCGCGCGCCGCCCGCGGGCCGCGCCCGCCCGCGGTGGGTCCGCCGAGTGCGCCGCGGGGCCCGGCCGCGCCCCCTCCGCGCCCGCCCGACCCCGGCTTCCCCAGTCCGCGCCGCACCCCTCACCAGGTCGGAGCTGCAGGCTGCCGTCGCGGCGGCTGCACCACAGCGCGCGCTCGCCCTGCTGCAGGATGTAGTGGTCCTTGGCTTGGAAGAGCTCCATGCCGGCCCGGCGCGGCGCGGCGCGGCGCGCTGAGGGAGGCGGCGGCTCCTGGGCCCGGCGGCGGCCACCGAGGCCCGCAGGCGGAGCGTCCTGGGCGCTCTCGGCCGCCGCGGCCACCGGAGCCCGCGCCTCTGACTAGGACCGAAGACCTAACAGCGCCGGGGAGCAGAGCACAGGAGCGCCCCGGGGACGACCCGCCCGCGGAGAACGCGCCAGAGGCGGCCGTGGAGGCCTCACCCCCAGCGCCTCCCCTCGCCGAGCACCAACCCCCCCGACAGGCCCCGCCCCTTCCCGGGCTCCTCCCCTTCCCGGGCTGCTTCCCTGGCCTCGGACTCCACCCCCTCCGCCCGCTCGCTCCTCCCGGACCGCTCTAGGCTCCGCCCCCCACCCTTGGCTCCACCCCCTCCCCGGCTCCTCCCAGGCCGCGCTTGGCCTCTCTGCTCCCTTTCGCGCCACCTTCTCCTCCAGTTCTTCCCGCCCTCCGTCCTCCGCCCTCCTCCTCCTCTTCTTCCTTCCTCCCTCCCTCCCTCCTCCCTCGGCGCCTGCTCCTCCCTCCGTCCCCCCTTCTCCTGCTCCTCCCGGCCCGGTCCGCCTCCCTGCCGGGCGACCTCGGGCGGACCCCGAGCCTGGCTGGGTCCGCCTGGCCTAGCTGGCAGCCTCCTCCACGCTGTCCTTGAAGGCAGAGGCCCACCCGTGGGTCTTCCTCTCCCGTGCTCGCGTTAGTCGTTCCTCCCATTAGTCTCCAAGAAAGCAGATGGAGTCCTTGACTCCCGCCCCACCTGACCTCCTTCCTGGGGTTCGTTCCCCCCAGAGCCTGCGGCCAGCCCTGCGCCCCCGCAGGCCCCGAGCCCAGCAGCCTGCCTGCGGGGATCCCTCTGCCCGGGTCTGAGCACAGCACAGGTGGCTTCTGTGTGGGCATTTTCTTGTAGAATCGTGTGACGCTAGACAACAGCAAGCATTGAGAGAGACGGGTGTAACAAAAGGAAATACACAAGTGTGGGCAGCACAGGCCAAGAGGACAGGACAGAGCCCTGTGCAGTGGAGCAAGACTGGTCGGAGAAGATTTCATACTGGGATCAATTAATGAAGTGGAAGGGATGTAGTCACAAGGTCAGACGGCCAGATGGTATGTGAAGAATTGGGGGAATTAGGCTCCCTGTTCCAGAACCAACTCCAAGTCTGACGGGCTGTGTGATTTGGGGGACATTTTGGATCTTGGTATCTCAGGTGGTGGTTGGATTAATGACCTTTTGTTTTGGTTTGGTGATCAGACCCATGACTGCATTTACTAGGCAAGTGATTCATCACCGACTGAGCCATATCAGGGCTCACTAATGACCTTTCATTACATTCTCAGGCCTATTAATCGGTGAGCCTTTACCTATCCTTTATCTTCTCAAATCAAATAAGCAGATACACACACATACACACATGAGATCAGAGATAAGAAGGGGGCAATAATACTTTAAATTTCCTACTCTAGTACAGACAGGAGGCGGACCCAAAAGCAGGAATGACTTCCACATTACTAATTATTCCAGCCCACGCTGGTTTCATTGTTGAGTTTTCATGGCACAAAAAAAAAAAAATGTCCCATGGCAACAGAAGGTCCTGGCACCTTTTCCCATAAGCACTATGCTTCCTGAGCCATCCAAACACCTAACACCACAGGAGTTGTGATTACTGTACCAAATCTTTGTGATGTGATTTGGACAAAAATAATGACAGTGAAAGTTTCAGCCAAACCATCAGTTTCAGATTCATTGTTGATTTCAGCCACATGTTGACTTTCCTTGAAAAAAAATGAATAATGAGAAAGTCCTATGAAGACAGTATGTCCTGCAAATTATTTTATTTTTTAATGAAACACATTGCTAGGTGCAAAAAATAAATCTTATTTAATACAGTTGGTTAAAACTTTTCCTGATGGTTTTTTGTTTTTGTTTTTTTTTTGGGTCCGGTCATGGGGCCTGAACTCTGGGCCTGGCTGCTGTCCCTCAGCTCTTCAGCTCAAGGCAAGCGCTCTACCATGGAGCCACCTTCCCAGCCCTTTCCTGATGTTTTTAATCAGTGCTTCCAACTCAAGATACTCACTAGAATAACCTGAGGAATTTTCTTTTTAATTGTACTAATGCTTGTATCACAAACCAACTGAAGTTTTTGTTTTCTTGTTTTTTGGCAGTGCTAGGGGTTTGAATTCAGGACCTTGAGCTGCTAGGCAAGTGCTCTACCACTTTAGCCACACCTCCAATTCCATTTTTCAAAGAGGCTAGCTTTTTGCAGGGGTCACCTTGGACTGTTATGCTCCTATTTATGTTTCTTGCATAGCTGTGAGGACAGCCATGCACCAGCTTTTGACTGGTTGAGGAGGAATATGGGGAACTTTTTGCCCAATTGGCATCAAACCATGATCTCGATCTCAGCCTCCAAAATAGCAAAGGGTGTAAACATGAGACACCACATTCCATTTAATTGAGCTAGGGCCCTACTGGCATCAATATTTTTTCTAAGTTGCTCAGATGATTGTAATGTACAGCCTGAGTTGAGCATCACACTACTGTTTTGAAAGACATTAATTACAAAAATCTGTGGCAGCTAGGGAAAAAAACAAACAGCAGTCAGTCATTAACTAGTACCATTGTGTAGAGCTGGTTACCTATAAACCCAGAGGCAACAATTTAGATTGTAAGGAAAGGAAAATCCTGGCAAAAGAATGCTCCAGTAATCTGACTTAAAAGCCTACTGCTCTCTCTGCTTTCTCCCTGTCAGGGTCTGAAGGCATGCTTGACTTTAGGGTGGACTTTTGGATTTGGTTTTTGTTTTTTTTTGGGGGGGGGGAGGTCCGGTCGTGGGGCCTGAACTCTGGGCCTGGGCGCTGTTCCTCAGCTCTTCAGCTCAAGGCTAGCGCTCTACCACTTGAGGCACAGTGCCACTTCCAGCTTTTTTCTTTTTCTTATGTGGTGCTAAGGAATCGAACCCAGGGCCTCAGGCATGCAAGGCAAGCGCTCTACCACTGAGCCACCTTCCCAGTCCTAGGGTGGACTTTTGGGCGGGCAGACCCTAACCTAGCAAAAGAGAGAGAAAATGAGGCGTTCCTGCCCTAAGTCACATCCCCAGACTCCTGCTACAACTTCCTTCCCTCCATCCAGCCTTGGACTTTTTGAAGATTAGGTCCTGAAGCTTCTCCAACTCCCAGCTGGCCTCTCCAGCCTTGGCCAAGTTGCTAACTCAATTAGGTCCACCTGCCCCACTGTTTCCAAGGTTATACTGCAAAGTTTCTGTGATGCTACTCTATTTTTTTAAAATACTGACAGCTATTTTGCATATTATCTTCTTTTACATGTGTTTTTACAGTATATTTTTACTAGCGTTAGTATTTCACTAAGGAGCTAGGTTCTAGCCTGTTCTGTGTGACATTGCCAAGTCACTTAATCTCTAAGGAGCTAGGTTCTAGCCTGTTCTGTGTGACATTGGCCAAGTAACTTAAATCTGTTTTAGTATGTTTCCTTAAGAAAAGTTCACTGAGGAGTTCTCCCAGTGATGAAATGAGCGGAGGTGAGAAAATATGGCCCTATAGTTCATCCTACGCAAATAACAACGATAAATGACCAACTCTAATTAGCATTTTGGCTCTTGAATGTTAGTATTTGTTTTGTTCAGTTTTAGATTTGTTTTTATAGTGCTAGCACTGAAACCCTGGGCCTCTACCACTGAGCTATATGACCAACCCTTCAATGTTAGATTTATTAAATAGTGAATCATTAATAATAATTAAATAATGTATCCAAGATTTGGGGGGACCTGATTAGATTTTAGTGTACCCAACTGTTTACTAGTCCACAGTCTTGTATGTTACATGTCTATGAGCAATTTCTTCAGTCTTGTCAATACATAAGAAATATTCCAAAGGCTATAGATACAGAGCTACAGTTAGAGCTAGATAGTAATGGAGATGGAGAGGGAGATGTGTTGTTTTTTTTCTTGCCTGTCAAGAGGCTGCTAATTTCTTAGATCAGCCTTCAGGGTAACCTAACTTTAGAATTAAGAGTCTAAGACACTCACAAGCTGTAATGTTTTTTTTTTTTTTCTGTTCTTAAGATTGAACCCAGAACCTTACACATGTTAAGCAAATGTTCTGCCACCAAGCCCTAGCCTGTATGATGGTTTATTTTACATATCAACTTTGTTTTTTTTGATCTGAGGATCTCAGTTTGAAGCCAGCCTGGTCAGGAAAGTTGGGCTCATATCTCCAATCAACAACCAAAAAGCCAGAAGTGGAAGTATGGTTCAAGTAGTAAGGTGCTATCCCTGAGCAAAAAAAGCTCATGGATAGCAACCTGGCCCTAAGTTTAAGCCCCAGGACTGGACTGACACTGGCACATACACACAGATGTTTCTGTTGTTTATAAGCTATCCAGCCTCAAGCCAATATTTTATTGTTACCTGCCACAGATTAAGATTTATTTGGCCACTCAACATCCAAAATCTCATGGGGGGGGGGGGGCTGGGAAGGTGGCTCAGTGGTAGAGCACTTGCCTTGCATGCATGAGGCCCTGGGTTCGATTCCTCAGCACCACATAAGCAAAAAGAAAAAAACCGGAAGTGGTGCTGTGGCTCAAGTGGTAGAGTGCTAGCCTTGAGCTGAAGAGCTGAGGGACAGCACCCAGGCCCAGAGTTCAGGCCCCACAACCAGACCCCCCCCAAAAAAAAAAAAAAACTCTCCAAAATCTCATGGGTTTTTTTTTTCTGCCTCCTCTTATCACTTCATTAAAGACAATTGGAAGGACCATTTTAGAGCTCTTTGACATATAAAATTGTTCAGCCGACTAGTACGAGAGACCAAGTCCCTCATGAGGAAAATGTTATGTTGGTCCAAAGGAGAACCATGACTTTGTTTGATGTAGAAGACAGTCTGTCCTTCCCTGCTACTTTCTAGAGGTTAATAATACTGGCTTTCAAATTATTTGGCATGAAAGAATTATCAGTGTTATTGTTTAAACCAGCTTAATAATTTGTCCATGTGATTGTGTATATATGTGAAATAGAGGAAACAATGTGTTTTCTGCCTC